GCTGGCACCCTAGCCACTTAAGCTACAGGCACCGAGCCAGGTTGCTTATTTTCTTTCATCCACAAAACAACTTTCTGACCATTCAGTGAGGAAAGGACAATCTTTTCAACAAATTATGCTGAAAACTGAGTCTTCATATGCAAAAGAATGAAGTTCTTATACCCAATATAAAAATTAACTCCAAATGGATCAAAGATATAAATTAAGAAATAAAACTATAAAACCCTTAGAAGAAAATATGGGGGAAAGCTTCATGAAATTGGATTTAGCAAATATCTCACGGCTGTAACACCAAAAATATAAGCAATAAAAGAAGAAAAAATTTTTTTTCAAGACAGAGTGTTGAAACCTCTGTCACTCAGGTTAGAGTGCCATGGTGTCAGCCTCGCTTATACACACAACAACTTCAAACTCCTGTGTTCAAAAGATCCTTCTGTCTCAGTCTTATAAGTAGCTGGGACCATGCCTGGCCAATTTTTCTATTTTTAGTGGAGATGGGGTCTTGATCTTGCTCAGGCTGGTCTCCAACTCCTGAGTTCAGGTGATCCTCCACTCTCGGCCTCCTAGAGTGCTAGGATTAGAGGTATGAGCCACCACACCCAACTAAAAGAAAAAGTTTAACTACAACAACATTAAAAACTTCTGTGCATCAAAGGACATAATCAACAGAATAAAAACATTCAAAAGTATGGAAGAAAATATTTGTAAATCATACATATGATAAGGGGTTAATACCTAGAATATGTAAAGGACTCCTATACTTCAACAGCAACAACAAAAAAGAACCAAAACTATCCAGTTAAAATATGGGGTAAGGACTCAGACATTTCTTCAAAGAAGGTATACAAATGGCTAACAAATATATAAAACAAGCTTGGTGGCTGTAGCTCAAGCTGCTAAGGCACCAGCCATATACACCAGAGCTGGTGTGTTTGAATCCATCCTGGGTCTGCCAAATAATAATGACAACTACAACCAAAAAATGGCCAGGCATTGTGGTGGGCGCCTGTGGTCTCAGCGACTTAGGAGGCTGAGGCAAGAGATCGCTTAAGCCTAGGAGCTGGAGTATGCTGTGAGCTGTGATGGCACAGCAGTCTACCCAGGGAGACAGCTTGAGGCTCTGTCTCCAAAATAAAAAAAAATAAAAATAAATAAATATATATATATATATAAAACGATGTTTGGCATCACTAAGCATTCAGGGGTGCAAATCAAACCACACTATCAGGGCAGTGCCTATGGCTCAGTGAGTAGTATACCTCTAATCCTAGCCCTCTAGGAGGCCGAGAGTGGAGGATCACCTGAACTCAGGAGTTGGAGACCAGCCTGAGCAAGATCAAGACCCCATCTCCACTAAAAATAGAAAAATTGGCCAGGCATGGTCCCAGCTACTTATAAGACTGAGACAGAAGGATCTTTTGAACACAGCCCCATATACCAAGGGTGGTGGGTTCAAACCTGGCCCTGGCAAAACTGCAACAAAAAAATAACTGGGCGTTGTGGCAGGCGCCTATAGTCCCAGCTAATTTGGGAGGCTGAGGCAAGAGAATCACCTAAGCCCAAGAGCTGGAGGTTGCTGTGATGCCATGGCACTCTACCAAGGGTGACCTTGTACCAAGGGTGACAAAGCGAGACTCTATCTCTACAAACAAACAAACAAATAAATGAACAAACAAAAAAACCCACATTATCAAAAAAGACCCAGAAAATAACAAATGTTGGTGAGGATATGGAAAAATTGGAACTCTTGTGAGAATGTAAAATGGTATGGCTGCTATGGAAAACATTATAGTGCTTCCTAATAAATTAAACCTAGAATTCCCATAAGATCCAGCAATTCCACTTCTGTGTATATGACCAAAAGAACTGAAGGTCTTAAGGAGATATTTATAAACCCATGTTGATAGCAGCATTATTCACAATAGCAAAGGGGTAAAAACAACCCAAGTATCCATCAACAGATGAATGAACAAGGAAAATATGGTCTATCCCTACAAGGGAATATTATTCAGCCTTAAAAAGGAAGGAAATCCTGCCACATGTCACAACATGGCTGAAACTTGAGGACCTTATGCTAAATGAAATAAGCCAGCCACAAAAGGTTAAGTACTTATGATTCCTTTTATCTGAGGCTCCTAGAGATAGAAAATAGAATGGTGGCTGCCAGCAGCTGGGGAGAGGAGCCGGGGGAGAGCTTCAGTTGGGGAAGATGAAGAGTCCTGGAGATGGGCGGAGCAGTGTGAATGTACTTAACAACACCAAACCACATGCTGTAAAATGGTTAAAATAGTAAATTTTATGTTACATGTATTTTACTACAATAAAGAAAGATCACGAAAAAAGAAAGAAAAATTATATATAAACCAACAGACTGTTAGGTTGGAGGAGTAGCAGGGTGGGATCACAGATCATTCAGGCCTATACTCTCATTGGGCAGGAGACTAGGGCCTGGAGAAGAAAAGGGAAAGGTCCAAGAGCTCAGGACTGTTAGTGCCAGAGCCAGGATGAGAACTAGGGTCACTTGGCTCCCTGCCCCTCTGGGCTGTGAGCTCCACCAGGACAGGGACTAGGCCTGTCTTGACTTCCACCGTGTCTCCACTGTCCAGCTTTAATGGCTGTGAGCGTCCTTCCTCTACATTAGTGGTTCTCAGCCCTCACAGCACATCAGAATTACCTGGGGAGATTTCAGAACATACCAATACCTGATGAGCCTCATGCCCTAGAGCAGTGATTTTCAACCAGTGTGTCATGGCATCCTGGTGTACCGTGAGAGGGTCTCAGGTATGCCATGAAAATTTTTAAAGATTGTTAATTAGGGTTGGCATCCATAGCTCAGAGGTTAGGGCACCAGCCACATGCATTGGGACTGGTGGGTTCAGACCTGGTCCAGGCCCGCTAAACAACAACAACAACAACAACAAAATAGCTGGGCATTGTGGCAGGCGCGTATAGTCCCAGCTACTTGGGAGGCTGAGGAAAGAGAATCATTGGAGCCCAAGAGTTTGAGGTTGCTGTGAGCTGCAATGCCCCAGCATTCTACTGAGGGTGACATAGTGAGACTCTGTCTCAAAAAAAAAAAAAAAAAATCATTAATTAAATTATTTTCAAAAGAAATTCAAAGCATGGTAAATATATTCTTTTTATTACTTTTTTTTTAATCAATGTAAGTGTGCCCCCAAGTTTAACTATAGGTTTAAGTGTGTTATGAGATTAAAAAAAAAAAAAAGGTTAAAAAACACTGTTCTAGGATCTAGGTAGCAGCTCATGCCTATAATCCTAACACTCTGGGAGGGAAAGGTAGGTGGATTGCCTGAGTTCACAGGTTCAAGACCAGCCTGAGCCAGAGCAAGATTCTGTCTCTAAAAATACTGGGTGCTTATAGTTCCAGTTACTTAAGAGGCTGAAGCAAGAGAATCACTTGAACCCAAGAGTTTGAGGTTGCTGTAAGCTATGATGCCATGGCATTCTACCCAGGGCAAAAGTGAGCCTTCGTCTCCAAAAACAACTCCACTGTTCTAGAGATTCTGATTTGAATCGCATGGGAGGGACTGAGGCATTAATATATTTAAAAGCTACCTGAGTGATTCTGATATGTAGCCAAGGCTGGGAAGTGCTTTACCCAGTTCATCCGCATCCCGCCCAGTACTCTGTTCTAGTGGGGAGTAGTTTCCTCCAGGAGTCTACAGTCTGGTTGTCTCTGGCTCTCTTTGTCCTACATTGCTTACAGAGGTAGCTGACTGTCACAGCACAGTGGGGTGCCGTTAATTTCCTCCACAGCCCTTTGGCAATGAAGTAAAAGCTTCAGAGTGCCCAGGATGCTGTGGTTGTCCTTGGTGGCAGTTCAGGTTGGACCACAAGGCACTGAGGTCTGCCTGCTTCCTCCATCATAAACACCTCATTGTTAACAATAGGGTCTTAACCATTTCCCTTTCCTTAGCTCCAAGGATGGTGCATGGCACATCTCAGGCCTTTGTGGGTCTTAAGTCAATGGCATTGGGGCCATGTGGTTTTAATCTGCTTTAAAGTTACAGAAAGAGCTTCCTCACAAGTAGTCTGGCTAGATGGCACTTTCTGTACCTTCTCCTGGCCTTGTTCTCTTCCTTGTAAGAGTGGTGAGGATGGAGTGGGGACAGCTCAGTCCTTGGCCACTCCCTAGGAAGAGGGA